TTAGGCAGTTTATCATTAAAGAGTCAACTGGGCTTTCGATACTTTGATTTGTAATTTCTTGGTGATCCTATTGTTGTGGGAATTTGTGTATTATTTATTGGACGAAATGGATCTTGTATTGCTATTCTTTGATCGGTTAAAAAAAAGATATCATTGCCAACATAATTAAAGAGCCGCAGAATTTTCTGATAAGCTTCATCATCAGTTCTATTGTAAATAATATAATTTTTTTTTCAAATGCAATAGCACGCTCTTTACTTTTAAAATGCTTTACTAGGCTCTGTTTGACATCTTGCACTTGTAATCTTTTATGTAATAATTCTATATATAATCTTGCCGCATAGACGTGCTTACAGATATCATGATATGAACTCCTCCAAATATAATCATAACATGTGCACTCTCCAGATAACATATTAACAAGATAATAATTAGCTGGGATATTAATATCATTACAGTTTACTAACTTAGTAATCATTGCATCAATTTTTTTAGTTAGTTCTGCCACTATATTGATAGAATAATGATTGTAGGGTGAATAAAACTTTTTACACTGTTTTTTAACAAATATATAATTTTCATGTCAAATTACTGGCATAACTAGACCAAGAAGTACATAGAGACACCCTTGGTTGATTCGACGTTTTCATCAATTGGTTTTTTGTGTGGAAATTGCTTATGTTCGATTGTATGCATATTCCAATACGTTACCAAACCTGTATTAAATAAGGTTTCACCAAGTTCATTTTGAACTAATGAATCTCGAAGAATTTTAATGCCATACAAACGTTCAATAAATGAAACAACCGTTTGTGTCCCACTACGTCGTGCTTCTACCATTTTATGCATATGCTCAGTAAGGTTGTTTGTAGTCATCGGTTTGGCATTGGCCGGATCATATACATGTGGTGCCCGTCCACCATTGATAAAACATTGCCTCTACTCATCACAAATCCAGTTTATTTCTAAGTCAAAAGCCAAAAGATCTTTTATATTATTATCTAGTGGCAAAAAATAGACAAAATTTCTATATTCTTTACCCATCATAATAGCTTCTTCGTCTGATCTACTTCGGCCTACAATTTTAAAAGCTAATGCTATTGGGTACCATAATGATCAGTCTATTTTCTATGTTTGAAAATGTTCATCTAAAGTTGCCATAATATGGAACCAACAGAGAATAGTTCCACAAATGAGACCTTGTAGTGCAAGCTTAGTAGGTCGATGTTTGTCCATCATAGCTAATAGATTCCAGTGTGAAATACATTCTCTCTGATGTCGAAAGCCTTTTCCATTTTCTAAATTAACATACTGATAATGATGCATGCAATTAGAGTCATTATATAGAATATTAGCTTGTACTGCTTGAACCGCTATTCGTATTGTATGATGATTTTCTTTGTCACTAAGACCAAATGCCAATAGGGACCCATATCCGGCTTCATCCTCAATAACTATAGAAAGCACAGGTGCTTTCTTATTATTTAGATTGTACTTTCCGTCTATTCCAAAACAGAAAAACCTACAATCCCGGCCTTGTTGAAACCATGCCTCATTGCTTACTATCAATTGGTAGTAATGTTCAGAGCAGTTTTCTGAAACAGAGATATCATGACGCTGATAATAAAGAACCTTTCCTTGCTCTTTTAATTCAGTAGTAACCAATTGATCTAAAATAGTCTACAGACCAGCATTTTCACGTAATCGGACATCATCATGCTCAACTAATCGTTTTAATTGTTGTTCAGTGCATATATTTTTATTAGTTTCACGCATATGTCTAAGGTGTATTTCACTTGTATTATTGTAAGGTGCCAATAATTTTAGTACAATTTCTACGCCAGAACTGTGGTGTGCGCGGTATGCCATAATTGCATGGTCACGAGCTTGGAGACTAAGATTTATTCTTGATACTTTCGATTGTGATACCACAGGCATATGTTGTGATCCATGTATCCCTTTAACAAACAATTGTACTGGAAAGAGTTCCTCAATATCTGAAAGCATAACCTTAATAATGACTCGTACAGCACACTTGTGTGTATCAAAATCATTTTTCAAATTATTGTTTAAAAAAAATTTTGGGCATTCCCGCTTACATTCCCCAATTCTACCACAAGCCCTTTCACAACTGTTGTTACCATCACAAAAAAAACCCAATGCCATACTGTTAAGTCTGATGCTGCATTTTGCTTAATTTTTGCCACTCGTTCATGACCCTTGTTAGTAAGCTCAATTATGTCATCTAGTCTATTCATCGATTTATTTTGTCCTTGAATTGTCTTCCAAGAGAGATAGTCAATAGCTCCTTCAACACGTTTCAGAGTAATTAAACCTGTCTTGATATTCTGATTTACATAAAGTCGGCTTTGTTTTTTAAGTTTGCAGTTGGTTAATAATGGCAAAGAGTTAATGTAAGTTTTAACTGCACGGCCGAAAGGTAAATTAACGCTTCCATTATCATTAACACGATATTGGGAAGGAGAACCTGACATATTTATTATTATTCTTTTTGACACTCTAGTTGATTTTTTTTTGGTTTTGTTAGATAATTCTAGCAGTTACATGAGATATGCTCTTCTGGCTTAACACTCACTTGTATCACTGGTTTTCTTCACTATCTACTAACCAATTCTTTACTTATACAGTCAAACACACAAAGTAATAATGCACAGTTTTTATGAAGTTATTACGCCAAAAGCGAAAAACCTATTTTTTTATTGTTTAATCAAACTCTTTATTTTTCGATTCACTTACAATTTATATAAATTGAGTTAACAATGTATTTGACTACCATATTTGTAATTTACGTACATACTTAAATTATACTTCGCATTATATGATAATAGAGATTGGCAAGATAATTTACTTATTATGTAAAAGTAAAATCATCACAATATGTGACAATTTACTAATAA